GTTAAAAGTAAATGTATATATTCTGACGTAAACTATGTAAAATAGATAAGTGTAATGGTGCATTCGTAATATTAATTAATATAAATTTTTAATGTCAAATAACACATCTCTAATTTATATATTTTAAATGTTTTAATGTCAAATTAATAATGATTGCTTTGTTAAATATACATGTTCACCTTCGAATGGCAGACGTAGGCCAAAATCTGTGCTTAGACTTTAAAATAAGAGAGCTCTTAGTCCTGGACCATATTTACCAAATATGCCAGAATAATGATATTAAAATCATAATATCGCTGAACACTTCTTTATATTTAACCATGGCCCTATTTTTCTAATATATTTATAAAAAAGAAGAGAGAATTTCTGTGTTATTCTACTATTCTGTATAACAACTATATAATTTCAAATAAAGACATTCAAGAATTATCAATAATCTTTATTTATTAATAATTAATTAATTATATATATATACATATGTATATATAATATAGGTATTTATTAATACATTTAATAATGCATATAAGAATTTTTTAATATTAATATATTTAAATTTGTATTGCTATTGTATGTATGTAAGATTACTTATTTATTTATATATTAATAAAATTAGGTGCGACTTATGTAATAAGTAAGTAATAGTTCATTCAATTATCATTCAATTTTATCGTTTCAGCAATGATGCATGTAACATCTTTGTGTTAACTGTATTTATTTCATGCATATAAAATCTCATTTATTAATAGGACGTAATTAAAAAGTATCTAATTTTCTTGTTAATTTGATTAGGCAATATGTGATACATAACGTCATTGTGAAATAATTAATAGAATAAAAAATGCTTATAAGACTCAACTTTGGAAAATGATTTATTCACGTAGAAATTGATCGAAACAATCGAGAACTATCGCCAAAAGTATCGAAAATTATCAGCACTATACATTTTCGTAGAGTGACGGCAAAATTAAAGATTGTTTAAAAATGTTTATAAGGCAGGTCAAGTTTGGAAAATGATTTATTCGCGTAGAATTGTTCAGAACAATCAAGAATTATCGTCAAAAGTATCGAAAATTATCAGCACGACACATTTTTATAGAATGCCGTGCTGGCGGCAAAAATAAAAATTGTTTAAAAAATATTTATAAAGCGGAACAACTTTTGAAATTGATTCGTGTAAGAATTGTTCGAAACAAGAATCTGAAGATATTATTCAATTTCAATGAAATTTTACCCAGATGATATTGAGGTTTCATAGTTATTATATTTGCATTTTTTATATAGAATAAAATCTAGATTAGAATATACTCTTAATTTTAATTACAATCTTTCCAAAATCTTCATTATGATCTTTCCAAAACGATTATGATTGTATTCAAAATACAAAATACGATAATTATTAATTTAAAATTGCTATATTTCCAGATAACTACTACTATTGTGTCTTTAATTTTAGGCCATTTTTCCATTAGCCATCTCTCATATATCTAATAATTACTAAACATCACAGACGCGCGCTTTTCGTTCTTAACTTTCTTCTTACTTGTTTAAATGTATTACGTTGTATTACAATATTAACTTCTCGTTACACAACTGTCAAAATGATAGCATGCCATAATGACAGCTGCTCGCAAAGTAAGCGCAATGAGAAAATCAATCAGACTCGCGAGTAAGAGACTTCAAACACTTCGATAGATGCAAATTTCGATTTAACACGCCTTTTTTAGAGAGGATTTTTTTTTACATAAAATGATACGTTCGAAATAAGAAACTATTATTTTTGTTAGAGACGAGAAATTAAAATTTTATTAGAATATGATTCATATTAAAATGCGAGCACAGACTCCTACGACAAATGTCGTATCTTCGAAGGCATTCTCGCGTCTTAAACGCAAAGATGTAGTTCATTATGGCAAAGCTGTACTGATCAACGAAGAATTAACCTTAAAACCACCATGTCCAAAAAAATCACACTAACCACAATGTCGGTTTAACAGACCGCTATCATACTTCCGCTAATTTTATAAGTTAATTATAATAAAAATGTATATTTTCTGAATACTTGTTGATGGAGAAAAGGAAAACTGTTTTAATGTGAGGGTTAACAAAAAATCTTGTGTACAATAGAAATAAAATATATTTAAATGGTGACAAGTAGGAAAATTGTTGACAAATAACGTTTTAATAGCGGTCTGTGAGACCGATATAGTGGTTTAAAGGTTAACCTCCTAATAAAATTGATACATCCAGAGAACGAGGTAGTTATATTTCGATTTTATACAATTTTTCTTTATACTATATTATTTAGCCACGTTATTAAAATGGTGTTAGCGTGCGCCGCGGCGGGTATCGTGAAACACCCGGTTAATCCGCGCGATTCTCCCTTAAGGTTAACGACGTTAAGGTTGTCGAACCAGAGGTGTGTGCGCGCGTGCAACGGTGCGATCGGCGAGATCAATCGGCCGACGAATTAGCGCCTTTTGCAGCTCCGTCAAGCACTAATGCTTTTACGCGTGTTTACATTAACGTTATCGCCGCCGCGCGCCGTCGCGCCGATTCGAATAGTTTTCTTCCCGCCCTTCCGCGATCCTCGCGTTTTCCCTCCCTGTCTGACGCACGACGTTACTGGGTCATTATACGAGTCGAAGCCTCTCCATCAGCCGCCACTTACGCGCGATATCTCAGAGCGCGTCCTGCGTGCGAGTACCTTCTTACCTTCGTAAACGCGCACCCACCCACGCAGCGGGACATCCATACGGCGCGATTAACGCGCCCTGCACGGACGTGTGCGCGCGCGCGCACGCACGCACGCACACGCACGTGTGCACGTGCGCGCGGGCGTTTTCGACTCCACGTCACGTCTATCGACCGACGACGACGCCGACAACAACGGCCGCTCCGTACCTATATACACGGATACGCGCGCTGTCGCACGCCAAGTGGGCTCTCACGTGGGAACACGGAATCGAAGCTGCGGACCGGGAGGCACGCGATTCACTGATCCGTCTTGCGAGAGGCGTTACCGTTATCTCCATCTCCCAATCTCTCGTCCGGACGACTAATAGGTTCAGCACGTGAATGAACCTTGGCCCGGCTGTAGGACCACGTGAAAAGGCCTTCGGCGCGGTGTGCATGTACCCTTCTGTGTGTGATCGTCGAGCCGCTGCCGGTTCGGCCAACGGTGCGCGATATACGGGGAGCAGCCTAAAACCGCACCGCGTGGCAACACGGAAGCGAAACGCCGATCTACATCGGTCTCCATCCTGCAGCTATATAGACTTCCCGCGAATTCGCTTCCTCATATATATAGGCAATGTCAGATTCTGTCGATAGATAACGCCGTCAGTGCAGCGTACGCCGATCTCCATACGGGATCTCGAAGGTCGCGAGGTTGCGGTGAAGAGATTTCGTACTTGACAAACGAGGGTTGTCGGAATGAATTATAATCCGCACGCTTACACCTGCGGCCGGCATTGTATTAACGCCGTCGAGGGTCAGCGAATTTATACAAAAGCGGCGATCGCTATACGTGAAGAGAAAATAAACGACGATTCGGGAAGATATCCCTATACGTATAGAAAAAAAATATAGCGAGACGTGATGGGTTAAATGTTTTTTTCGCTTCGCGAAAATACGCGCGTCAACTTGTAATTCCATGTCTACCTCGACGCGCAAATGGAGAACTCTCGTAGCTCGTTATGCACGCGATAATTGCGTACTTACATTAATGATTACATGGAACTACGTATGTGCAGCACTTTACGTCCACTGGGCACATTTACGTTTAACGGCTGCGTTATACGTATACATATATATATATATATATAATATGCAAAATGTTAGAGAATGTAAACAATAATTTGTTACATTCCGCTGCGGAGTGATTATCGAAAATGAAAACGTGTCGCAAAGAAAAAAAAAGACGTTTTAATGGTACACGCGCACGGAAAGAACAATTTTGTTGAATCCAGATCTGAAAATAATTTTTGTTCAATAATCAAAATAATTTTGTGCAAAAGTCAAAATGATTGCTAAAATATCAAAACGTTTTATAGAAATGCTTATCAGTTTTAACATTCCAACAAATTATATTAATGATTCAACAAAAAATTATTCTCAGATCTCTTTTCAGCAAAATTTTTAGACCTTTCAATAAAATCGTGCTTTCTGTGTGTAAATGCGGTTTCGTATTTTGACGCTATACGTTATTAAGAACTAGTGCACTAGTCTATATAAAATGCTTAGTAACAATGCTAACAAGTTTTATCTATCAATTTTTTCGACTTTGAGATAATCCTTTTTTCTCTCGGAGCAAATTGGGCTGGCTGCGGTCGCTCGATTTGATAGATTGCGATTCGCGTAAAAACGTGTTTATAAGAAGCCGCATTGCACCGAGCACATGCGACATTACGGAGATTGACAAAGTAGGTCGCGCAAGTGGAGCATTTCTTGATCGCCATTCATAATATGGACGTACATTAGGGTAATCGGCGATTCGTTTTAACCATCGCCAGGAGGGGCCTTCATTTTTTTTTCTTTCTTTTGCGCGAAATGATCGACATGCTGACTCAGCGGTAATCCTCGGCCTTTTACCCGATGGAAGGCTCTTTCGACACTCTTCTATTTATGTTAAGACACTATTTTGGACACGCTATTCTACGCTAACGTAATCACCGACCCTGGTAATGCTGGGATCCAAATTACGCTGATATTTTTGTGGCGCGACGCGTCCATTAAGTCATTTAATAGAACGTCACCGTGAAAGGCAAATGTTGCCGCGTTGTCATAACATTACAAATTAGAATTACACGCGGTTACGGCATATAACACGCCGTAAATTTAATGTGTCACGCGAAATTGGCTCGTGTATACGCAAAGTCGAGGAAACGAATGACGAGAACGGACGAGCAACGCAGTTGCAATACAAGCGGTTTCGTCAGGTATAGCACAAATAAGCACATAGAAATACGGATATAGAATAGGATTTGTCAAAAACGACTTACGGTTCATTTCGAGGACGAGCAATTTGGCTTGCGGCGGCACCAAGTTCGTATTGCTGGCCTGACAGATCAGCCTCGCCTGGAGGTGTTGTCGCCCAATTTTCGGATACGCCAAGTGGTTAACCGTTAACTCGAGCTGGGTATCGTAGTGATAGGACTCGTCTATCACGGTATTGTCGAGATACCACGTCAGCTTTGGGCGCGGCTTGCCACCGCGGACCTCGCAAATCAGGTTCACGTCGCTCCCCTCGTTGTACCGCTCCTCGAGGCCCCAAACAGCCCTCGTATCCCCATCCAATATTACCGGCTTCGATGGAGGCACTGTGCGGAATAGAATGCGTCGTTAGAATCCAAACGCGAAACGCTAATCGATCGACACGTCCGGGCCGGTCTAGCAAAACGACAGTCAGCGCGCGAGAGATACGTAATGCGGTCGATGCGGTGGAATCCGGCACAACTTTGGCGTTGTAGCGGAATTAACTGTTATAATGGCCGCAAAACAGGTCGTATAGTTACGAAGTATATTACCGCGGCGGCTCTCTCTCTCTCTCTCTCTCTCTCTCACCCCCTCCCCCCCCAGTTTGCGGGGCAAACCGCGGCTTACGCCGAGATTAATTTATGCGCCGGAAAGTGCCGAGTTCGTAAGTCAACGCCCCAACGACGAGGGAGAGATGTATCGAGAGCAAATGTATATCTAAACCGAACACGTGCGCGCGCGAGCGATAACTTTAGCGCGCCGACGAAATTGAACGATTATATTCAACGTTAAATTACACATTGTATATAAAAGCGGTTCTACCGGGGGCACCGCAACGCGGAGATCGAAGGTGCTTCTTGCTCACCGATACTTGACGCGACCTCCATTACCGCGCCCTGATCAAAAGGACCGACTTTAATTGTTGCGTGATCACTGGTTGATTGAGTTTCACCGGGATACAATGCGCTCACCTATAACGGTTAAGTTCATCCTTTGTTTCCGCGTCGGCGAGTTTCTGAAGTCCACCCGGCACCGGTAGATCCCCTCGTCGGTGCTCTCCAGCCGATCGATGCTGAGGTGAGCCGGATTCGTCGCCGTGACAAAAAAAGCTCTTGGTCCCAATGCCGAGGGCGACGACCAAAGACGGGCGTTGCTGTACCGCCGGCCGCGAACGTCGAAGCTGCAACAAATCGATTGGCTTTCTGCTCAGTAACTCAGCCGTAACGATCCCCGTCGTTTTGCAATTGTTATGAGATACCAGCGCATTATGACTATATACCCGTATACGGGTCGTGCAATTAATTATCGGTGCTTGATGGTTATATAATATGGAATTTCAACGTTTTTCGCTAATAGGCGTAGAATGCTAGAACGATTCCGACGGTATAGGTACGCGCGTCCGGTAATAAGAGTCAGTTTATCGCCGGTAATTACAGTTTTGCTTGTTATTCATATACCAAAAATTGTACCAATTTAATTACATAATTTGCCATGTAATTGCAGCATCAATTGAGATTGCATCCTGGCGTCGTTAAAAGCTTGTCGTGATTGAATTGAATTATATTGTAATTACAAAGTAAATAATGAACGTACATATTCCTGAACACTTGTAATCGAATGTACAACATTCGCTTCAAGATTTCCCGTCAATTATAAAATTAAATGCCTTTAACTATAAATATCCCTAATTGTTTCACTAAAGTGATTTCGAATCTGTATACATATAAAATTCTAATAAGCACAATTTGCATCGGTTTAATGTCGTAATATCTTGTACTCATATTAAATATTTGACACGCAAGATCTAACAAAATCGCTGTGTCGCTTTCTTATCTCATTACACGAATAAAGGCTTTAGAAACGGACGTAAGTTTAACTTGGATAGTGGGCTAAAAGATTAAACCCCGGTTACGTTATGCTCGTCGTTCGTGATGCCCGCGATGTCGAGTCTCACGCCTGCATGTGACCTTACCGCTGCACAGGCACGGCAGCTTCGCTGAAGAATCGTTCGCGGAACTGCGATCCGAGACTGGTGATTGGACACAGACGTGTCGTGTCGGCGTACGGAGCCGCATGGGAGCCGTTCTCAGTGCGTGATTGCATATTAAGCATCCGCGCGGTGGAGCCGCGGAACGGGAGCAAAGGGAGACGGATTAGAGGGACAGTCTGGGGACGTATAAGAGACCCTCGCGCGGAGACCGAAAGAAGAGGAGGTACCTCAGGAGGAGGACGGGGGGAGGAGGGGGGAGGAGAGGGGAAGGGGAGAGCAGGAAATGCCAGGCATAGAGCCCTTCACGGCTCCTCGCGAGCGCGACTGAAAGTTAAATTGCGTTCCGCGACTGCACGGGAGTTCGGATTTTCGCTCGTGACTGAGTAGTCCCAAAGCTATCCCCGCCCTCGCGCGCTCGCTTCCACGGCATTGACGTTGAAATACGATTTAATTCTTCCACTTCGCACTTCCAGTGGACGAGGAGGGCGCTTCCGTGACGCGCCACCAACGGCTGCCCGCCCGCCTCGTTGTCGTAGACAGGACGATGGGAGGAGGAGGAGGTGATGGTGGTGGTGGTGACGGTGCAAAGGTCGAGCGCACGTTCCACGAGCCGTCGCCCAGCGCCCAGAGAGAACGACCCGTGGATATAACACGTTCGACCGACTTTTCTCGCGCGCGATAACCCTGAAAAGCGATTTTCCCATATCGGTCTTCTGACTTCAACCCCCGGCGTTCATCGACGGCGAAACGACTCTCGAGATCGATCGGTCGCCTGCCTACTCACCCGACTCGTCGATCACGACCTCTGAGAGGCTGATTCGTCGAGACTTTCCGGAAAGGCATCGCCGACAAGCCTCGTTTCTTCGTTATCTCGGGAGATTGCAGAGCGTAGATGAACTTATGCCGCTCGATCTCTTTTTACAGTTCGCGAAATCTATTTGTAAACGGAGTACACGTCAAACTCGAAACGTCGAGTGTAGTAGACGAGTGCAGCGATCTCGGTTAACATTTGATAAGAAACATTTATAGCTTTCGTGTTGAAAATTAATTTTCCATTCTCGTAATAATATCGTAATTTAACTTTGATAAAAATAAACTCTCGACAGCTTATCATGACATCTTAAGATGACACTTGAAATCAGTGCAAGCAAAACGCGTCTCTCTTTCATCGCATTTTATTTAGTCATTACTCTGTCCGCTACGCCGAATACTACGAAATACGTTAAAAAATCGATCACTTTCAAGTCTCACGCGAGGGAGGGAATTTCACCAGGTCGCCTTCGGTGGGTCTAAGTGCCTTGAAACTTTCCTAAGAGAGAAGGTAGAATGGAATTGAGTGGATTCGATTTTGCGAAGTGTTATCTATTAAGGTAAAATGCGAAAGACCGCCCGAGAGATTGTAAATATTACCGGGCGTTTTGTTCGATCAAGACGCTGAGCGTTCAATATTACAGGAGTAATATTGAAACTCGGAGATCTAGATCTACGATCGCGAACAAATATTCATATCATGAAGAATGCAGTCAATCGTTTAAGCCCTCCCTCCGCCCCTCCCCCTCCTCGGCCCTTCCGTTCTCCAAAGTAAATGAAAAACTATGATGAACTCCGTATACCAATGTAGATAACCGAGGTAGGATTCAATCATCTTCGGGGATTGCGAAGGGTCTTGTTAAATCAATAAAATTAACCAAAGAGAGAGAGAAAAAGCGTACCCTTCCTTCCGTCTTCTTGAATAAGTTACAGCGCGAGGAAATCTTGATGAGACGGCGATGCACGTCACATGCGAGTTACTCCCATCACGAACGGAACATTGAATACATGTGTAAAGCCGGGAGGGAGGGGGAAGGAGGAACACTTGGAAAAGAGCTATGCGCGATCATGCCCCACGTAACCCCGCAGTTTCCTTTCCTTAACTGTCTGGCGTACGTACGATAAGCGGGCACACGATGTCACGCAATAAATATTTTACTGCGAGAGGTATATATACCGTCCGAGGAGAGAAGGGCCACGACGTTAGGGCGAGGCCAAGGGGGGAGACGTTTTAGTACGGCGGCCGCCTTTAAATTTAAAGTTCCTCGTCGTGGCGAGGATTAAACTGACTTTACAACAAGCGACGACCTACGATCCCCTTCGTATACCGAGCGCCAGCACCCCC